TTTGCTTCTTGAAACTGACGAACACTTCCCCCCCGATAAGCAAGACTTAGCACCACCCCACATACGCAGCCTTTAAGGGTTTAAGAGGGTTTAAAATTCGGTCTTACATACATATTTGTTCCTGAAACTTAAGAACATCTACCCCCCGATAAGCAAGACTTAGAACCACCCCACATACGCGGCCTTTAAGGGTTTAGCGGGGGTTTAAAATTCAGTGTTACATATATATTTGCTTTTTGAAACTTAAGAACACTTACACCCGGATAAGCAAGACTTGGAACCTGCAGACAACAACAAACACGTCTGTCGCAAAACCCCGGCCGTTGATGCATAGCCTCCGTAATGGGGTATGTCGCGTGTGCGGGCCGCGGCCCTATTACAAGCAATCAATACTGGCATGCGGCCATATGTATGTCCTAGAAGTTACAGCACATGTAAAAAGAATATGATATGTTTCATGTTGTTGTAATAGTTTAAGCACAAACACGGTGGACCGATAACAGTACCACCATGTCGTCTGTGCTGTTTAGTGTGCAGTTGGCGAGATAACAATACACAAACAAGAGAGGGGGAGACGGTGGACCGAAAGCAGTACCACCGTGTTCAGGGACCGAAAACAGTACCCCGCTTTCCCGGAGACCGAAAACAGTACTCCGAGTTGAGTTAACACTGCATTCACTGTAGGCTCCGCGCATTCGATGGTGAGAATCAAAAGCCACCATACCTGACGCCAGACTTTATTTTAATATTAATGTAAAAAAGCGCGCTGTAGAGTTCAAATCATTATACCTTCCGGTCCCTATAGGGTTTTAAGCTACTAACCCTAAAGAGTCTAAATAATTCAAATCCAGATTTAAATGATTTAAGATATTTGAATTATTTAAATTATTTGAGTTTGTGAAGTTTTTTAAATTATTTAAATGGTTTCGGCTAGGAGAAATTCTCGACCTATTTAAATTCTTTAATTTATTTAAATTCACGCGCCTCGAAACTAATTTAAATAATTTAAATCCCGAATTAAATTATGTAAATTCGCGGGCCTCAAAACTAATTTAAATAATTCAAATCGCGATTTAAATTATTTAAATTTTTTCCGAGCTCGTGAACTTAAATAATTTAAATAATGTAAATAATTCAAATCGAATGAGGCTTTCTCCGAACCCAGACCATTTAGATAATTTAAATAATTTAAATAATTTAAATAATTTAAATCCTGATTTGAATTATTTAAATTAGTTTCGAGGCCCGGGAATTTAAATAATTTAATTCTGTATTTAAATTAGTTAAATTAGTTTCCGGGCCCGCGAATTTGAATAATTTAAATCTCGAATTAAATTATTTAAATTCGCGGGCCTCAAAACTAATTTAAATAATTTAATTCGGGATTTAAATTATTTAAATTAGTTTCCGGGCCCGCGAATTTAAATAATTTAAAGAATCTAAATAGATCCAGATTTTCTCCCAGCACAGACCATTTAACTAATTTAAATAATTTAAATAATTAAATAATTTAAATAATTTAAATCGGGATTTGAATTATTTAAATTAGTTTGGAGGCCCGCGAATTTAAATAATTTAATTCTGTATTTAAATTAGTTAAATTAGTTTCCGGGCCCGCGAATTTAAATAATTTAAATCTCGAATTATATTATTTAAATTCGCGGGCCCGGAAACTAATTTAAATAATTTAATTCGGGATTTAAATTATTTAAATTAGTTTCCGGGCCCGCGAATTTAAATAATTTAAAGAATCTAAATAGATCCAGATTTTCTCCCAGCAGAGACCATTTAACTAATTTAAATAATTTAAATAATTTAAATAATTTAAATCAGGATTTGAATTATTTAAATTAGTTTGGAGGCCCGCGAATTTAAATAATTTAATTCGGTATTTAAATTAGTTAAATTCGTTTCCGGGCCCGCGAATTTAAATAATTTAAATCTCGAATTAAATTATTTAAATTCGCGGGCCTCCAAACTAATTTAAATAATTCAAATCCCGATTTAAATTATTTAAATTATTTAAATTAGTTAAATGGTCTGTGCTGGGAGAAAATCTGGATCTATTTAGATTTTTTAAATTATTTAAATTCGTGAGCCCGGAAACTAATTTAAATAATTTAAATCCCGAATTAAATTATTTAAATTCGCGGGCCCGGAAACTAATTTAAATAATTTAATTCGGGATTTAAATTATTTAAATTAGTTTCCGGGCCCGCGAATTTAAATAATTTAAAGAATCTAAATAGATCCAGATTTTCTCCCAGCACAGACCATTTAACTAATTTAAATAATTTAAATAATTTAAATAATTTAAATCGGGATTTGAATTATTTAAATTAGTTTGGAGGCCCGCGAATTTAAATAATTTAATTCGAGATTTAAATTATTTAAATTCGCGGGCCCGGAAACGAATTTAACTAATTTAAATACCGAATTAAATTATTTAAATTCGCGGGCCTCCAAACTAATTTAAATAATTCAAATCCTGATTTAAATTATTTAAATTATTTAAATTATTTAAATTATTTAAATTAGTTAAATGGTCTGTGCTGGGAGAAAATCTGGATCTATTTAGATTTTTTAAATTATTTAAATTCGTGAGCCCGGACACTAATTTAAATAATTTAAATCCCAAATTAAATTATTTAAATTCGCGGGCCCGGAAACTAATTTAAATAATTTAATTCGGGATTTAAATTATTTACATTAGTTTCCGGGCCCGCGAATTTAAATAATTTAAAGAATCTAAATAGATCCAGATTTTCTCCCAGCACAGACCATTTAACTAATTTAAATAATTTAAATAATTTAAATAATTTAAATCAGGATTTGAATTATTTAAATTAGTTTGGAGGCCCGCGAATTTAAATAATTTAATTCGGTATTTAAATTAGTTAAATTAGTTTCCGGGCCCGCGAATTTAAATAATTTAAATCTCGAATTAAATTATTTAAATTCGCGGGCCTCCAAACTAATTTAAATAATTCAAATCCCGATTTAAATTATTTAAATTATTTAAATTATTTAAATTAGTTAAATGGTCTGTGCTGGGAGAAAATCTGGATCTATTTAGATTTTTTAAATTATTTAAATTCGTGAGCCCGGAAACTAATTTAAATAATTTAAATCCCGAATTAAATTATTTAAATTCGCGGGCCCGGAAACTAATTTAAATAATTTAATTCGGGATTTAAATTATTTAAATTAGTTTCCGGGCCCGCGAATTTAAATAATTTAAAGAATCTAAATAGATCCAGATTTTCTCCCAGCACAGACCATTTAACTAATTTAAATCATTTAAATAATTTAAATAATTTAAATCAGGATTTGAATTATTTAAATTAGTTTGGAGGCCCGCGAATTTAAATAATTTAATTCGGTATTTAAATTAGTTAAATTAGTGTCCGGGCCCGCGAATTTAAATAATTTAAATCTCGAATTAAATTATTTAAATTCGCGGGCCTCCAAACTAATTTAAATAATTCAAATCCGGATTTAAATTATTTAAATTATTTAAATTATTTAAATTAGTTAAATGGTCTGTGCTGGGAGAAAATCTGGATCTATTTAGATTCTTTAAATTATTTAAATTCGCTGGCCCGGAAACTAATTTAAATAATTTAAATCCCGAATTAAATTATTTAAATTCGCGGACCTCGAAACTAATTTAAATAATTCAAATCCCGATTTAAATTAGTTAAATTCTTTTCCGAGCCCGTGAATTTTAATAATTTACATAATTTAAATAATTCAAATAGAATGAGGATTTCTCCGAACCCAGACCATTTAGATAATTTACATAATTTAAATAATTTAAATCCTGATTTAAATTATTTAAATTAGTTTCGAGGCCCGTGAATTTAGATAATTTCATTCGGTATTTAAATTAGTTAAATTAGTTCCCGGGCCCGCGAATTTAAGTAATTTAAATCTCGAATTAAATTATTTAAATTCGCGGGCCTCAAAACTAATTTAAATAATTCAAATCATTTAATTCTTCCATATGTTCTCCATACATATAGAAAAACAGGTAGCAACATAGTACATAAAGGTCCCTCTCTCATATATATATATATATATATGCATATGTATATATGCATATATATATGTATATATTTATTTATTTATTTATTTATTTGTTTATATATATATATATATATATGATGCCGGCGCGGCCGGCACGCCCCCTTGTCCCCCCAATGGTACCTGTGGTGTGGTTGTGGGGTTGGTTTTGGGATTTAGGGTGTTAAGGGGGTTTAGGGTTTAGAGTTTAGGGTTTAGAGTTTAGGGTTTAGGGTGTTTAGGGTTTAGGGTTCCCCCCCCCCCCCCCCCCCCCTGCCCCCTGTGGTGTGGTTGTGGGTTGGTCTCAGGGTTTTAGGGTTTTAGGGTTTAGGGTTTCGAGTTAGGGTTTAGGGTTCAGGTTTAGGGTTTAGGGTTTGGGGTTTAGGGTTTAGGGACCATAGCAGGGGTGGGGGGGGGGGGGGCGGCGAACCGAGAACCGGGATCATACATATATATATATATATATATATATGCACATCCTTCAAGGAGCGCACCTGGCCTACCTACAAGAACAAGACGAATCCCTGTGGCCCTGTGTACATCAACATCGGGGACGGCGGCAACCGTGAAGGGCCCTACGCGTACTGGCTGCCCTTTGAGGAGAAGGCCAGCGTCTCGGATGGCTCTTGGGATCACTATTCCGTTTTTTCAAGTGGTTTAGGGTTTAGGGCTCAGGGTTTAGGGTTTAGGGATGTTTAGGGATGTTTAGGGTTTTAGGGTTTAGGGCTTGGGGTTTAGAGTTTCGGGTCCCTTTTTGTTTCTCTTCCTAGGACCCAGACTAAGCCCCTATTCCCGTTTGTTTTTCCTTTCTTCTTTTTTTAAGGGTTGAGGTTGCCTGATCAAGCCTCATTTTACACGAAAAGCGCACGATTACGATTACCCTTGGGTCTAGCTTCCGGGTTACCAAGAGGCTCAGATGTAGGTTTCTTCTCGAGATGTCTTGGTTTCCCCTTTTCTTTTGTTGGACTGTTTCAAGAGGCCTGTATGTTTGCAATACCTTGGCAGAGGGTTGGAAAAAAACCTAAACCCTGAACCCTGAACCCTAAACCCTAAACCCTAAACCCTGAACCCTGAACCCTGAACCCTGAACCCTGCACTCTCCTAAACCCTAAACCCTAAACCCTAAACCCTAAACCCTAAACCCTAAACCCTAAACCCTAAACCCTAAAGCCTAAACCCTAAACCCTAAACCGTGACCAGCCCAGGTGTGTGGTCTGCCTTCCGCCAGGGATCTTTCGGCATCGGGGACCTGAAGATCATGAACTCCACCCACTCCTTCTTCACCTGGAAGCGCAACGCCTGCTTCGACAAAGGTCCAAGGGGTCCACGAAAGATACCCCCGAATATAGACTCTAGACCCCAAATAGTAGAGGACCCCCAAGAAGGCACCCCTAATTTCGGAAACCCTAAACCCTAAACCCTAAACCCTAAGCCCCAAACCCTAAACCCTAAACCCCTATGCAGGTGAGGCGGACTTCGATGCCGCGCACTGCTCCACTGAAGGAGACAACTCGGCAAAGTCCTTGGTCTCGGACGACTCGTCTTGGATCCTTGGTAGGTTTAGGGTTTAGGGTGTAGGGTTTAGGGTTTAGGGGTTTAGGAGTTTAGGGGTTTAGGGGTTTAGGGGTTTAGGGGTTTAGGGGTTTAGTGTTTAGGGTTCAGGGTTCAGGGTTTAGGGTTTTTGGGTATAGGGTTTAGGGTTTGGGGTGTAAGGTGGGTTTAGGGTTGAGGGTTTAGGGTTTAGGGTTCCCTCATAAAGTAGCCAACCAACAAAAGGGTACCCTTACGACAGTATTCTTACTGAGCTACTAAGGATCATCCGCGACACTGGGAAGTGCAAGAAGCAGGCGTAGACCGCGCAGACTCCGCCCCTAGCCGTCTGCCTGCTGCGAAGGCCACACAAGGTGCAGCAGCCGCACTCGGCGGATTCTCGCGCAACCTTCTGTCTTGGGACCGAATGACGCCCCAAATTGAGATCATCTACCAATGCTACCATAGAACCCTCCTAACTAACCCCAAGCCGCCCTAAACCCTAAGCCATTTTCGAGCTCATTCAGTCCCCGGGCTTCCGTGCCGCACATGCCGGACGCCTTCCTGACGCACCGAGCGACGAACACCTTTGAAAAGGAGGTCACGCAGCCCACCTGGGTAAGCCCCTAAAACCCGAAACCCTGAACCCTGAACTTCAAACCCTAAACCCTGAACCCTAAGACCTGCTAAAGCCTAAACCCTAAACCCTGAACCGTGACACCCTAAACCCTGAACCCTAAAACCTGTTAAAGCCTAAACCCAAAGGCTCCTTCTTAAGTAGCCATGGGCTGTCCTGAGCTTGGCATGCTACTACTTAGACTAAGGCTTCATTATCTCAGGGCCGAGGGTAGAGAGCTTATGGGGGGCGGGGGGTTTAGGGTGTTTAGGGTGTTTAGGGTTTAGGGTGTTTAGGGTTTAGGGTTTAGGGTTTAGGGTTTAGGGTTTAGGGGAGGTAGGGAGGGGGCTTAGGGCTTCGGGTTTAGGTAGCCTAACGCCCCAAAACCCTACGATCTGCAAGCCCCAAGCCCCAAACCTAGCCCCCAACACGCACGCAAATCAAGAAACTTCACCCTAAACCAAAGCAGAAGCCACACACCACTAACCCTAAACCTTAGCACCTTCAACCCTAAACCCTAAACCCAAAAACCCGAAACCCGAAACCCTAAACCCGCAACCCTCAACCCTAAACCCTAAACCCTGAACCCTCGAAAAACCCTAAACCCTAAACCCTAAACCCTAAACCCTAAACCCTAAACCCTAAACCCTAAACCCTAACTTCTCTAAACCCTAAGCCCCAAACCCGTAAACCAGCAAAGGCTTCCAGGGTGGGCCATGGGAAGCCGACGACGCGGCTGGCAGCCCGCTCAAGGCTCTTGGGGTTTAGGGTTTAGGGTTTAGGCTTTAGGCTTTAGGGTTTAGGGTTTTGAGTTTAGGGTTTAGGGTTTAGGGTTTAAAGTCGGGGTTTAGGGTTTAGGGTCTCTTTCTAGGGGGGGCATTAGGATGTTCAGGGGCTTCGGGGTTTCGGGATCAGGGTTTGAGGCTTTCGCTGATATTGGGATGAAACAGGCTCAAGAATCCTACATCCTAACTCCTCCCCCTAACCAGAAAACCCTAACCCTAAGCCCCTAAACCCTTAGTCCTAAACCCTGAAAATGCCAAACGCCCAGAACCCTGAGTCGGGTAAGCCCTAAACCCTAAACCCCAAACCCTCGAGCCCCCTGAACCCTAAACCCCTAAGCCCCCCAACTGGCGAGACGTAAACCCTAAACCCTAAACCCTCAACCCTACACCCTAAACCCTAAACCCTAAACCCTAAACCCTAAACCCTAAACCCTAAACCCTAAACCCTAAACCCTATAAAGACTTCAGAAAGGTGGAGGGCTGCTCCAGTGCCGTATCCAGCCCTGGGCCTTGCAAGCTGATCCTGGCCGCGGGGCTCAGTTGGGTTTTAGGGTTTAGGGTTTAGGGTTTAGGGTTAGGGTTTGGGCTTGGGGGTTTTAGGGCTTTAGGGCCCAGAGGTTTCTGGTCTTAGGTTGGGAGTGGGTGGTGGGCTTTCTAGCATAGCTCGTGAACAGGAGCAAGAAGCAAGAAAGAAGCCCGGGGAGTCTTGAGAGATCTGGGCTTTTTAGGGTTTAGGGTTTAGGGTTTAGGGTTTAGGGTTTAGGGCTTAGGGCTTAGGGCTTAGGGCTTTAGGTTTAGGGTTCAGGCTTTTGGGGCTTTAAGGGCTTTGGGAAGTCTTGGCATTGGCCAAACCCTAAACCCTCAACCCTCTCAGCTCACTCGACCCCTAAACCCTTAATTAACCCTAAATCCTAAACCCTGAACCCTGAACCCTAAACCCTACACGTCAAGGACTCGCCCCTGGGCGTGGATATTCCGAAGTTGGCCCTGACCCCGCAGAAGTGGGCGTCCACCGGCAAGGTGCGCAGGTGACATTAGGGGTTCGAGGTGGATGGGGTTTGGGTTTAGGATTCAGGGTTTAGGGTTTCGGGTTTAGAGGTTTCGGAGTTTAGGGGTTTAGGGCTTGGGGAGCAGAAGTTTTAGGGTTTCCTTACCAGTACTTAACAGGGAATGAAGGGGGATTTGGGTGCCTTATCTGCATATTTCTACACTTCCCTACATGCCCTTCCCAGGATGTTGAATACATTGCTTCCCTACCAGGAGGAACCAGAAAATTTAGGTGGTTGTTGATTTTGGACGGAGGGTCAGATGGGCGTGGGGTTTCTAAGGTTCTAAAGCATTTTGTCCCGTGAGGTGTCGTCTTTTGTTGGCATTTCAAGGCGTTTCCTCTAAGCCCTTCTACCCCAAACCTGTTTAGGATCTAGGCCCAGGGGTTTGGGAATTTTGGCTGCGACATGGTCTTAAAGGCGAATTTAGGGGCATGGTGGATTGCGGAGACCGCATGGAGGAGTCTGTGTCCGTTCGTCCTTTTGATGTCACAGTTTTGGTTGGCCGCTGACTTAAGTACACCAAACAATCTGCGTTGTACCTATAGCTATCAGGGTTTAGGGTTTAGGGTTTAGGGTTTAGGGGTTAGGGTTAGGGTTTAGGGTATCCAACTTCTCACCCAACCAATACTTGTGCCTGAACCTTGTGGGTGGTCTTACGTACAAGTTCCAGTGGCCACGGCTTTCGGGATCTTCCTTGATCCTTCCCTGCCTCACCTACCCTATGCCCCAAACCCTAAACCCTAACCCTGAGCCCTGAACCCTGGACCACCGCCCAACACTTTAAGGCAGCTCATAGTCACCACGCCAAGCCCAAACTTTAAACACTAAATTTCATCCCTAAACCCGAAGCCCTAAGCCTCAACCCTAAACCCTAAACCCTAAACCCTAAACCCTAAACCCTAAACCCTAAACCCTAAACCCTAAACCCTAAAACCTAAACCCTAAACCCTAAACCCTAAACCCTAAACCCTAAACCCTAAACCCTAAACCCTAAACCCTAAACCCTAAACCCTAAACCCTAAACCCTAAACCCTAACCCTGAGCCTTCGTGTCGCGCCAGAACCGCTTCACCCCGCGCACTCGGCCCTCGCCGCAGTCTGTGCAGTCAAGGATCAGGCCGGGACTTCTCCTGATGGGGTTTAGGGTTTAGGGTTTAGGGTTTAGGGTTTAGGGTTTAGGGTTAGGGTTTAGGGTTTAGGGTTTAGGGTTTAGGGTTTAGGGTTTCGGGTTTAGGCAGCGGCAGAGGGCTTTAGGGTTTTGGGGCTCGGTTTTCGGCATGTTTCTGCACTCAGGGTGTTCGGCTCGTAGGTTTATTCAGTTTGCGGCAAAATCCTCGTCAGGGCTTCGAAAAATTTGGGTTTTAGGGATAATTACCAATAGTATTCCCTTTTGGTCCCTTCACAAATCGACGGGTTTACAGGGCTTGGGGTGAACATGAAGTTAAACGCAGCCTTCGACCCAGGCTTTGAGAACCTCGTCCGTCGGCGGGACACAGGAAGCTGGAGTAGCCACCCTCCCCCAAGAACCAAACCTGCCCCTAAACCCTGAACCCTAAACCCTTAAACCCCAAACCCTAAACCCTAAACCCTAAACGCTAAACCCAACCTACCTTGCCCTATCCCCTTGCCTTCAGCTTCCTCCAAGCCTTCGCGAGAGAGGCCCTCACCCGGCTCGCGGCAAGAGGGCCGAGGTGGGGCAGTGAGAGTGGGGTTCCTAAACCCCACACCCTAAACCCTAAACCCTAAACCCTAAACCCTAAACCCTAAACCCTAAACCCTAAACCCTAAACCCTAAACCCTAAACCTAAACCCTAAACCCTAAACCCTAAACCCTAAACCCTAAACCCCTAACACTAAACCTAAACCCTAAACCCTAAACCCTAAACCTAACCCTAAACCCCTAACCTACCCTAAACCCGAAACCCTAAACCCTAAACCCTAAACCCTAAACCCTAAACCCTAAACCCTAAACCCTAAACCCTAAACCCTAAACCCTAAACCCTAAACCCTACCCTAAACCTTTTCTCTCACTCCACGACTGCCAGTTAGGCTTCCTGGGGAGGCTTGTAAGGCTCAGCTTGCCCGAGCCCCTAAACCCTAAGCCCTAAGCCCTAAACCCTAAACCCCAAAACCCTAAACCCTAAGCACTAAGCCCTCATCCCTAAGTGGTGGTTGTAAAGGAACTGGTAAGAGGAAGTTGCAGTTGTGGGGGATATCTCAGACAACAACAAGTACCATTTCCCTCTCTCTGCTGCTTTTTCTCAAGTTCCCACAAACAGCAGGTTTTTCGGGCCCGGTGTACTGGCTAGCGTGTGGAGTGCCGCAAGGGGAACTGCCTTCTCGAACTCACTTTTGAGGTTTGGGATGCGGAGGTGGTTGCGGATTCAGGGGTTCGTATGTAGGGTCTGGAAGGGGGCATGGGACAAGCGAAAGGTGACTTGATTTCTGGGCTTGCAGTGGAGCACTTGGGAATTGTTGTTTGTAGCCACCAATAACCCCAAACCCAAAACCCCAAACCCAAAACCCTCCATAGACGCAGCAGGCGACGTCGCGCTATGCGTCCGGCTAAAGCCAGGCTGCGATGAGGAGACCTGCGTTCCAGCAAGGGTTTAGGCTTTAGGCTTTAGGCTTTAGGCTTTAGGCTTTAGGCTTTAGGCTTTAGGCTTTAGGCTTTAGGCTTTAGGCTTTAGGCTTTAGGCTTTAGGCTTTAGGCTTTAGGCTTTAGGCTTTAGGCTTTAGGCTTTAGGCATTGAGGGGATACTGGCTTATGCTTCTGGGTTGAGGGATTGGGGTGTCGGTGTGTTCAGGGTGAACTTGCAGATTCATGTGTAGGTATGTTAGAATGCTCCCCCAGTCGCAACACACTGTCCTCTC